ATTAGAAAACTGAGTCACATGAGAGATGAGGAAAGACTGACCAATTATTCATATTCCTGATTGCTCAGGTGTTGGCCTTTAGAGAGAGTTTCTAAGACATAAAGCACTTCACTGGGGATTGTTAAAACTGGAGGAGGACAGGTTAGCAAGAGTATTGGGGCCTGCGGAAACAAACTGCAAACGTCATTTTAATGTCTTAGTGATCATTGTTTCCCTTGAGCACTGGGGTAACAACACTTCATGACACCTTCAAATAGAGCAGACAGCATGGACACATGTATTCATTCATCATATTTTGTTTAAACACGTAATGCCTTAGTCTGTTCTATAATAAAAATCCCAAAAGCTAGTCAGCTTTAACAACAGAAATTTATTTCTCATAGTTCCAGAGGCTGGGAAGTCCAAGACCAAGGTACTAACAGATTTGGTTCCTGGAACTCTCCTCCTGGTTTGCAGTCAGCCACTATCTCAGTGTGTCCTCATACGATGGAGGGAGATCAGCTCTTCTGTGTCTTCTAAAAGCACTAAGCTCAATTACAAAGGCTCAGTCCTCATGATCTAATTAACTGCCTAAAGCCCCACCTCCACATACCATCCTATTGAGGATTAAGGTTTCAGCATATGTGTTTAGAGGGGGCTACATACATTTAGTTCACAGCATTCTATACATTTTTATTTCATTCCTATCTCATGCTAGAAACAAGGTGATATAGTGTGGAACTAGGGAGAAGAATTTAAAAACTAAGTACTCAAACTAAGCTGACTTGCCATGAAATGGAGATAAATACAGAAATAACTAAGTATATGCAGCTAAATATAAATTAGTTAAAAGGGAGATGCCATAGGGATATATTCATTCTGACCTGAGAAATCAAGGAAAACTGCATACAGGAAGAGGTATTCTAAGAGTAGGATCGAAGGGTTGAGTAAGCTTCAAATAAGATTTCTATGCAGATTTTATAATTATTAATGACTTCTAATTTCGATTCAAGTGTTGACAAAAATACGATTCTTCTTCCATTTTTTCCCACAAGCACTTATTAAACAACTGTGAAGTGCCAAGTACAGTGCCAGATTCAAGGAACATAATAAATAATATGCTAAATTCCAGATTTTAAGGCATTTACTAGTATAGTTATTTTAATCAATATGCAAAGAGCTAATTTGGATGCAGCTGAAGTTTTAGCACGAAAGAACATGCAAAGTCACTTGCAGCTGGCCACTTGCAATTTGTCTCAGTATCTGTTCTCTTGGCCTGGGCCAGAAAACAATAGCAACATCTCCAAGGTAACTGGTAGACATACAGATAGAACAGGTTTTCTCTGGAGTGGGTGCAGGGCAGAGGATTTTTCAGCAGGAGCATTGCTGTAGTCCACAGTTTGCCTTAGTAATAATGCTGAGGCAACATTCTCTTGTGGTCAGGTATTGGATTACTTCCCCTTTTGTGTTCTTGAAAAACATTCAAAATATTCAACAGAGCCAGTTATACCCGGAAAAAGGTAAACACCTTTTGGCTTTCTTTCTTTTTTCTTTCTTTCTTTCTTTCTTTCTTTCTTTCTTTCTTTCTTTCTTTCTGTCTGTCTGTCTTTTTCTTTCTTTCCTTCTCTCTTTCTTTTCTTTCTTTCTTTCTTTCTTTCTTTCTTTCTTTCTTTCTTTCTTTCTTTCTTTCACCATTGCTACCTTAAAGAACATAACAGACTAAATTTTAAGGCAATCAACTCATAACTTGTTTCTAGCTATTATTCTCTTTTTCTTTCTTTCTAGCAATCACCAATAAAACAGGCCAGGGATATAGCTCAGCAGCACAAGTGCCAGCCTGGCAAGCACAAGGTCCTGAGTTCAATTCCTGGTACCAAAAAACAAAACAAAACAAAACAAAACAAAATAATAAAACAGTGTGTCAGGGATTCAGAATAAGACTAAGAATTGTTTGTTAGACCTGACACATTACTGATATGTTTGGGGACTAGATATGTCTCTGATTCACTTTTCCTAACATGCACATGGAAATTTAAACTCTACTTCATAGAGTTTTAATTCAAGTTGGATGGAACAAGACTTACATGCTTTGAAAACCATCTTTAATATAAAAATGCCAGATGTTTCCAAACAGTCCTTCCTCACTTTTTGCAGAGACCTGTTTATCTAGTCATTATGATCTTAGAGGGAAATCTCAGTTTTACTCTTTAACATTCCATAAAAACACATTTTTTGAGGATTTACTCTATATCCAACCCTGTGTCTCCCACTGAGGATTCCACAGAGGAATCAAATGCTATTCTTGCCACCCAGGATGGATGTTCTTACTAAAACTTTATCATGGAGTTTCACTAGCTAATCTATTTCTCTGCTCTCTAAATTCCCCTTTCTACCCACTCCCCATTTCTTAATCTGTCTCTCTCCATCTCTGTCTCTGTCTCAAACAAAACAAAAGAAAAATCTTGCAATTTTAACATAAACCATAAGCAAGCAGCAGGGATATATCTACAGCACTTTTGAGAGAAAGGAATGCTAGTTGCAGAAAAAAAAGTATAAATGCTACAAAGACATATTAGCAACAAAGGAAGTCTGAGAATATCAATTATAAGAGTCAAATCTAAAGGCAAATAATAGAAGTAATGCAATGAATCAAACTATGCAGAAATTTTGGATTATAAAAATCCATTCTTCTATCACTATCGGACATGAGATATTCCATTGTTATTAAAAAGGAATTAAAGTGAGCCAGTTTAAGTAGATGCAACTCTGTCTTGGTTTGCCATTTTTTTCTGATCTCTTTGTCTCTTCTTGGAATATGATTGACATTTGTATTATTATCATGTTCTCCATGTATTAATAAGTATGATCCATACTCTACAGTATTGATATGTATAATCTCTACTATCTACAGGATAGATAACTTTGGCATCTGCTTCTTACAATCTGAGCACAATTTACATAGCTAACATACCCTTACTTTAACCAAAGAGTTTGAAAGTTCTTCAAAGAGAGTGCAAGTGAACTATTTATGTGATACCTGGAAGATACTTAAGAAATGGGTAATCTGGTAAATTGAAAGGTCCAGCCACTAAAAACAAAGAGATGGGTATAACTCAAAAGAATTATAGGTATGGATATGAGCATAGGGAACTTGCTGGAACAACAAAAAAATACAGTGCCTGTTATGGTTTGTGTCTGCATGTCCCCCCAAATCCTCATGCAGTCATGGGGCAAGCTTCTAGATTTTTGATTGATCGATAGCCCAATGCTGGGATCATGGGCGTGAGTGCTACATCTGCCCTGGGGCAGATAGTTTGCATATGTAAGGGAGAGAAAGAGGCTGCTTGCTGCCACTCCTCCCTTTTGCTCTTGTTGCTTTTGCTATCTTCCAACACCATGAATAGTTGCCCTCTGCCATGTGCCACCCTGCCTTGGAGCCAGCCAAATATGGACAGAAACCTCCACAGACTGTGAGCTAAATAAACCTTTCCTTCCTTAATACTGGGCATCAGATATTTTGTCTCAGCATCGAAAGAAAGGTAACTAAAACAATGTCTAACAAAAGGGGTACAAACTTTGTTTCAAGGCATTCATGACAGTTCACAGTTTCAAAGTATCTCTCCATTTTTCAACTTCTAAAAAGCGTAAAGTAAGTTGAAAAGTTGTACCGCCTCAAGGAAGGCATATTCTCTAATTTTTGAAATTGGCCAGTGCAAGCAGTGGGATAGAAACACTTTTACCTCCTGAAGGGTAGAGCCAAAAGCCATGAATAATTGCCAGAGTGACCATATCTGGGAGCAAAACCAGGGCTGTATCAAGAAATGCTCCCCACTCCCAAGGGCCAGGGCTTTTTATAGCATTTGACCGCTCAGAGTTATTCTGTCCCTGTTTCAGTATTGAAGGTTGAGTTTCTCTTGTGTTCCTGCTGATATAGGTGCTGAGGTTGCTCAGAACTGTATTTCTCCAGAGCACAGCAGCTCAGAAGCTTCCACATTAAGAGGAACTAAATTCATAAGCTGTCCCAGCAGCATTTGAATTTTCCTAACATCTTCTGGTGCTCAGGTCATGTTCTACAGAACATCTTACTGTGTAGCATAACTTCAGCAGTAAAGAGACCCACAGGAGTGAAAGAACTCACCTTTCTTGCCAGCCTGATCAACTAAGGTCCCAGAAGACAAGTCAGTATGGAATATGTTCTGCACATTTGTCCTAATGACTCAGTTGTTTTTCATTTCTTTCATCTCATTTGACTTTCCAACCCATTCAGTGAAATACATTTATAGTTGAAGAAAACTGTAACCCAAAGAGATGAAAACCTGAGGCCACATGAATGCTGGGAAATAGTTTGCATCTTGGTCTGTGTGACTGCAAAAGCTATACTCTTTTAACACCTTATGCTACCTCAAGTTTCCTAGAACACACATTTCTTTTATCATTGAAATATCTCAAACAGCATCAACTTCTTTGGGTTCCTTTGAACCACTGATATGAAATGTAAAATGTCATTCATAGAGCTTTTTGAAAAACTCCAACTTTTACTGGATCAATTCCTTATCACTATAGAAATTTTCATAAAATCATGTTTTCATCATTTAATAGTATTCTGAATGTAAAACAATCAGTGCATTATTCTCCAAAAGTTTAGGTGCTATGGACAGAGGGCAGGACTATGCGCTACTCTAACTGTGGCCACAAGATAAAGAGCAAGAAACATTGCTTTGCTGAGTTTCTCTTGTGTTCCTGCTGGTATGGATGCTGAGGTTGCTCAGAGCTGTATTTCTCCCGTGATCATCGTGTTATTGGATGGCCTGAGTTAGGGACTACAAATCCCCTGTTACTGGCCCAGGAGACTGTTTGAAATCTCCAGCAGACTCCTCTGTGTGATTACCACTGATGTGAGCCCAACAGGAAGTGTGACCTCATGCTGCTGCTCTGTTTCTGATTGCACGGGCTGTTTTTGAAAGAAAACAAAAAGAACTGAAGGCTGAATTTCCCAAGAACTATATGCTCTTCTATTCTAGGAAACAACCAAAAGAACAAGAGGCCATAGAAGATCAAACTCCCCAGCAAACTCCTGCTCAACACAAGGATTCATGTAGTGTTTGTAAGCAGAAGGATGAGAAGACTTTTATCAAGAGACTTCTGCACTGTTGACAACCTGAAGGCACTTTCGATGGCTCAGTCCTCAACTTTACCACTGCCAACAGTGGAAAGCCTTGTGTCTCAGCACTTACTTTGTCATTCATCCATTCGGAAAAGTGACTGGGAACTCCTCCCTGGAAGGATTACACGTATGGGCAAATTATTTTTCACAACAGATGTATTGTTTGATGGAACTGGTAGACAGAGTCTGTTACTTGCAGAGTTCTAGGGTTATAGCTAAAGTTTCTGTCACTGCTACAAATTCTCATTTAACAGCTGACTGCTTGTAGATGACTAAAATGTTTGTAAGCTATAATAATAAGGCTTTGCTTTCTGCTGTGTAATTTGCTAACTTAAAAATAAGTTTAATGCTTGAGAAAAACTAACCTAGGATAATTTTGGCTGGGCATATTCATATTGTATGCGTCAAAAATGAAAATGACAAGTAGCTTACTAATATATTAGTTTGTAAACAGTATTATTTTATATTTTAAACAAATGAAACTTCTAATTGTATACTTTGATTTAGAGATTTTCCAAAGAATGCTGCAAGAGTTTCCTGAAACATTTAAAGAGCTAGATATGCTGAGTTCTATATTTCCTAACAAGGTTTGTATATCATTTATTTAAATAATCAGTTTAAAACTTGAGGATTACTCTGATTTATTGTGTTATAGCTACAAAACAATCTGTAACTACTTACCGTGATTTTTTTAATTAGAGGTGGTGAATCAGAAGAAAATGTGCTCCTATCTTACAAAACTGTTAGGATCGTGATATACACTAAGTTCAATATCAACAAAAGAGAGATCTATTTGATAAGTGCTGAATGATCAACATTTATACAATTTACATACATTAATATGTGCTTAATTTGGAAATTGAGAGTAAATCATATGTTCATGAGACCTGACTATTGAAATTGGCCCAAGGTTGTACTATTTTTATTGTGATGCTGCTTATGCTATTTACAAATGTCCAGGCAGAAAACAGGCTGTTAACTATTACATGGAGGACTTTCCCTCTCTCTGCCTACCTCTTAGGTGAAAGAGACAGCAAAGCTCATGTACTACTGGAAACTTGACAATGAATTTACTTTGCAATATGTGATTTAAATACAACTGAGGTTGTCTTGGGGGCTCTACAAGCAGTCAGTTTTCAGATTTCATAATCAATTCATTTTCCCTCTTGTATTTGGATGTCAAATAAACCTTTGTAAATCTAGCATCCCAAATAAAATTTTGTCCTTATTTACACAAAAGAGATTATTTAGATGCACTGAATGAGATAATGGAAAATAGAATATAGAACTGTTGGGGCAGACTAAACCTTACTGAGCCCCTACAATCTGGTCTCCTGCTTTTCAATCCTATATCTCTGTACTATTTCAGTAAATAAATCTGACTAGTGCAATTAGTAGATGCCATCTGTTTTGGCATAATTTTTTCTATTTTTAATATATAGTCCATCTTTTAAAAAAAGGGTTTTGCAGAAAATCTGTGGAGTTTGAACAAGCGGCCTTCCCAAGATGTGCCGCATATCTCAACTGATGTCAACACCAGTAGCAAGTAAATGTAGAACTGCTATATGCAATTATCTTTTGAACGATTAGATGCCTTTTAGCAATTTCCTTGCTTTGATTTTGCTGATAGTCAGGCCATTAACCATCTGTCAGTAGCTTGTGCTTCTTAAATGCCAATGTGTGCCTCAGCAATGATTTTGACTTCATTTCTTTCCTTGAGAGAAATGTGGTATTTTTCCTTTTAGCAGAAAAAGTCACCATTTTTCAGAAGCCTGTGCATAAATGTGAAAGGAGATTGTTTATCAGCTACTATTAAGATGCAAAACTGTTTGTCTATAGAAATGCTGAATGATTTTGATAGCTACTTGCAGAAAATAAGGGTGTTGTTAGAACGGTAGTGGTTTGAAGTTTCTTCCTTCCTCTTGTTATTTTCTCCCCAAGTCCCACTTCTAACCCTCCCTCACACACCCACAATTTTCTCCTTACAAATCAACCAGCCCAATCTGAAACTCTCAATTCATTTTTGTCTTTACTAGTGATTTTCAGTAATGTAATCAAATCCAGTGAGCCTGTCTATTGCCAAGGGTTGACACTATCAGTCTATGATTAAACTCTCTGTTATAGTTTAGAATATTAACCACCTGCAAGTCTCCCCAAGCAAAGCCTGTTGCTACTCTTGTGTTTAAACTGGAATGAATGGATGGGTCATTTATTTTTTAAATGAAGAATACACACAGGCTTCATACACTGGAAAGTCACATGTGAAACAAAACCGTATTAGTCCCCAAACTGATGTGTTCTACTCAGAGTAAAAGGGTCTTGAAATACCCTGATGAAAGATAGTCTGAGATGGTGCTTTAATTCTTCAGATTCTGAGTAAGCTACAATAACCAACACATTGGTACCTGGTTTAGTTTCTTCCAGCTTCACATGAGATGTTTTCTCCCCTCCTTTCATAAGCTCATTTCAATGCTAATGATAAATTGTTACCTCATCTTTCACTAAGGAACCTCTACACATGATGTTAGCCAAAAGGCTGAGAAACAATCACTGAGGAACCTCTAAAGGACTGTTTTGTGTGAGAAGGGACAGATGATTGAAGCCTCTAGGTTACTCCACCAGAGACCTGGTAACAAGTTGTGTTAGGCTGATTTGGTGGATGGCTGCTCTGGTTGTAGTCTTTCTCTGAGGCTGGGTCACTAGCTATTCATGCTTCTCATGTGCCACTACTGTCATATTCAAGCATGGTGGTGAGGTGTGATCAACTTTCCCTTATGCAGGTTCCTCCAGGTTGGACAGAGAATGTGCTGGAGAACTGTCTACTACATGTATTTTCCAAGGTATGCCATGGAGCTTTTCTCAATCAAATTTAACAGATTTCCTTATAGTATGTCATGCTTTGTCCTAGTTTAAAAATATTTTAGCTATCATGCAGTCTTGCTATGGTTGTATATTTCCAGTGCTGGGCACAAACAATATTAAAACTTGCCTACTCTTAAAGATTGTTTTCTTGTCTACTGTAAGTAGGCAGGCATAAATTGATTCTTTGACAAATAAAGAAACTTTTGAATACTGATTGGATGGTTACTTTTTTCTCAAATCTGTGTTGTCTTAAATACACTTTCCTCTCTCAAGTTACCAGACCCACTGCACTGTACCCCAGTATGGAAGCTACCCGATTTTTATCCTCCACTCAAACAAGTAGACTCTACCATTTTGTTCAAGTCCTGCAATGGTGTCTGCTATTCCCCCTCCTTCCTTGCTTTCTCATTCCTTATACAGACCTTGCTTGAAATTTTCCCTAACATTTTGTGAAATATGCTTATACTGTAGTAGTAAAAAGTGATGAAACCTTGATATTAGACTCTGCCCCACCCATAAATTCTAGGCCTCCTGGTACCACCACATGAATCAGCTAAAGACGAACAAACAGAGCGCATGGAATGAACTCATGTTTCACATTCAGACCAGCTAGAGTTTGCATCTCAGCTCTGTCACATCCTAGCTTATGTAAAATATCCAAGTAATTTTTCCTTCTGCTTCTGCCTTTTTCCTCCTGTTCAGTGAGCATAATAATGATACTTAGGTTTAAGGAAGATTTGTAAAGAGTAGACAAAGCACAAAAGGTGGGGTCATAATACCCATGCAAAGTATGCAGTAAGTAATATCTTTAAAGTCACATTTCACTGGTCACTTGAGTGTATATATTAATTGTGCATACACTTTTAGATTGAAGCAATCAGATATTCAGAAGGGTATGAGAGCTATGCAGAGAAAGATGAGAGACACTGTATAATCTATTGATGTGTGAATAATTGTATCAAGAAATTTTAAAGGTCTAATGGTATTTGTCCCCTCTCACACCAACTTGTCTTTTTTCTGTCCTCTGAACTGTGAGCTCTGCCTTCTTCTTAAACCCAGTTAGTTGCAGGCAAGCAAAGATTTGGTCTTCGGGCACTTTGGCAAGTTCCTGGAATTTGGTGTGAGGTTGGATTTCTGAAACCAATTAAAAGGAACCTGCTAAAAAATAACCAGAGCTAGAATTATTATAGCAGAATAGAATTGTGAGTCAGGATCTAGAGATAATTTTGTTACTCACTAAAGGCATCTGATACTGTTTGGGAACAATCTCTTCATTATTTCAAAGTGGATATTGGGAGATCTTCATTTTGTTTACAGTCAAGACAGAAGGAAGAATTTTAAGGATATTAAAAAGGAAAGATGCCCAGGGGGTTGGCAAAAGTGTAACTGATAATGGTTACAAGTTGAAACCTCAGAAATTAGGTCTAGAACTCTGTCATCTGTATGTCTATTACATGAGAGTGCTACCCTTAATTCTTGAGGGGACAAAGCTATGCAGGAAATAGTATCACAAGAGACAAAAGATGTAAATTCTTGCCTACACAAACTTTAGGTCTCGAATAATTACCTCATCCTACCAGAGAGTCTCTTTTTCTTAGTTGTTTATGAAGGAGCAATCATCAAAATGTGCTGATAAGGTGAATGAGAGCATACCTGGAAACTAGTCTCCCCTGGTGTTTCCTGAGTCTCAGGTCTCTATCTATGCTGCTCAGTATTTTCATCAGTGATCTGAATTAAGGACATATGAATACTAGTGATATAACTTTTAATTACATCATGATATACTTTAAGTATCGTATGGTATCATCAGAATCTCTCCAAATTCCAGGAGCACAAAATATGGGCTTATTCAAATGGTAGCTAACACACATAACTCATAGCACTTAGTCTATTGGAGGCACAGATCTTAATAACTTTCCATGAAATTCTGACATTTTATCTTCACCCTATAAGGAGCACCATAGATTGGATTTGAGTAACACTCATTGTACAGATTCCCACTATAGTACACTAATGCTTAGGAAGAATAAACAACTAACCAATAGCAAAATCAAGAGTGAAACTCCAGGCATAATCGTACCTCTACTTAAGTGACAAGGTTTTCATTCTTAGTCTTATTATATACCAACTTTCTAAAATAAAGTTAGTTCAAAAGTTTGTGAGAAAGAAGATATGAGTAGGCACATAAGGAAAAAAACAGAAACTGAAAATCAACTCAGTAGGATGATGATATAATGGTGACTAGGGGAAATGAAAGAAAGGAGTAAGGCTTAGGCTCAGTCATTACAGACATGGATTGTGTATGGACGAAGGTGACAGTCCCAGTCTCCTCTGGGTAGACACACCTAAATGACTGGGTTCCATACTTGGCAATAAAGGTGCTTTAAAAACTAGAAAATACTCAAGGAAGAGCCATCACAACATGATAATAAAGTGATCAAAATCACTTTTGCCCCACACAGTTGAGTTAAATGAACCAGAGGAATTTTATTATGGAAGAAATAGGACCCGTGAAGGACACCTACTCTTTCGAGTGGCTGAGTGGCTCTCAGTGGAAGATGCAAAGGAAAAGAAAAGTTATGGTTTCTCTATTATAGTGACAAGAGCAAGGACAGGACATGTGATATCCAAAGAAAGGTGGGAGGGGTGAAGAGAACTATGAGTTCCTAACATCCAAGAAAGTTTGTTTTGCATTTTTTCCATCCAAAACGTGGAGTAATGTCAAGAGTGTAAAGTTTATTCTCTGATAATGACACTGATAAGCCACAATGTTTTCACCAAGTATAAAACAGAAAGAGCCACTAAATGTCATATGGATCAATGTCAAAGCCCAGAGGTGAAGAGTGATGCTCTTCAGAATCACAGAAGTATTTGATAATCAGAATGCGAGTCCTTCACAGTGACTGGACATGGGTTAGTCCTTCACAGTGACTGGACATGGCATTGGGTGACTGCATGCACTAGATAGAAACTAAGAAGATTGGCCTGTTTTCCTCTTTAGGTCTACCTGTGGCTTCCTGGATGGTGACATTTCCTTTGAAAGCTGCCCATAGATTCCTTGACAGGTTTCCACCATATCTGTCACCAAAGTCCCAGGTTCCTCATCAATGGCTACTGCATACGGACAAAGGACAGATTCCTCTGTGGCAAAGATGGTACATAACTCTGAACCCCTCATAGACCTGTGTTATATATAAGGAGAACTTAGGTAAGTAAAGAATATTATATAAAGGCATCTTGAATCCATTCCATCCACTATTCATTCACTGAACAACCATTAATAAGGAGCTCTTTATTGCTCCAGATTGTGAAAATCAAAGAGGAAATAAAGGGAAAGGAGAGCCTACCTGAAAAAAGTAATATGAAATGATGTAGGTGCTGGGATAGAAATCTCTATGGGATGCAGTAAAGGGGATAAGAGGAGAGACCTGCTTTACTTGAGGAATGCGTAAAATCCAGCTTCCTAGAGATAGTTATTTGACTGTCAGAAGATGTAAGACACTAATTAAAATAGAGAAAGAAATGAAACTTCTAGAGAGAGAGAGAGCACAGGTTTGGGTTTCTGAAAGATGCTGACACAATGGGGAAATGCAAACAGTTTGGTAGGGGACAGTTTAGGATAGGAAAGGAATGAGAACCCTGCAAGAAAGTGGGCTGAACACAGATGTGAGTTGAAGAGAGAGAGAGAAACATCAGGCTAGAGTTTGAGCTTTACTCTAAAGGCAAAGAGAAACCATTAAATCATTAGACTTAGAAAGATAATGGCGATTGCAATGTAGAGAATGTATTGTTGGGAGTGTGAATATGTGACTATAGTGACTAGAATGGAGAAAAAGGAAGGCAAGGTGTCCATGGATTTAAAGAAAGTAGTAATAAGGGTAAACAAGTGGCATAAGGAGATAGATAAACAATAAAGTAAAGTAGTAGGGTTTGGTCACTGCAGATATAGGATTTCCAACAAAGGAAGGGAGGACACACGCATGAAAACACAGGACTCTTGTCTTATCAGCTGGGTGTGTGGTAGGACCATTTACCAAATCAGAGATCAAAGGTATGTTTTGAGAAAACAAGATGAATGAATTAAGTTTATATCAGTTAATCTTGTCAATCACCTCAATTTTCTTTAGTTTTAAACCCACCCACATGTTGACTTTTATTTGAGGAATGGATAAAATCAAGCTTCCTAGAGACGGTTATTTGACTCTTAGAAGATGTAAGATGCTAGTTAAAATAGAGAAAGAAATGAAACTTCTAAAGAGAGAGCACAGGCTTAACACAGTAATACTGTTTAGCAAACAATGACAAAATCTTAGTGACATACAATGTAACAATGAATATACATGTTTGGAAATTAATTGGTTAAGTTGATCTACTCTGGACTAGGTTGAACTTGGCTTCAGGGTGAAATCATGTCTATTTCCTTCCTGTGTCAAGGATCCAGATCAGAAATGGCACACATCTCTTCTGCTCACATTTCCCTGGAAGATTTTACTGTCTTGGCTGCACCTAATGGCCAGGGAGCAAGAAGACTGAGTCCGTCTGTGCCTAAGAGAAAGAGTAGAGTATATTACACCAAGGTTTACTGTTTCTGTCATACAATTATAAGATCAGGTGAGTCAACTACCTAAACATATTTTGAGTTGTGCTTCCCTTTATCTTCCTTCTATTGTCCTTATGAAGACCAACATCACCTTTGGTTTGGAGTTTTGCAGGTTACCTTAGTGCTCTGAATGCCTCCAGAATTACACACCTCCCAATACTTTCTCCAAGTTGCTGCAAAGTGGCTTTCTTGAATTGCCAATACGTCCTTCAGAAGAGTTTTACCCCATGTCTTTTTTACCTTAAAATCATAACTGCAAATGCTTGTTAAATAAATGAAATGAATGTCACTTGATCACTTTGTATATGCTGGGTAAAATCCTGTTTAATGCATATACTCTGTTTTAGTTATTTTCTCGTTACTTAGAAAAAATACCAAAGTTAAAGGAGGAAAAATTTATTTCAGCTCACAGTTTGTAGAGGTTGCAGTCCATAGGTGCCTGGCTCCAATACAGGGGGCATGGCAGAAGAGCACAACAGAAGAGGAAGCAGTCCATGGCAAGGTAGACAGAAAGCAGCAAGGCTTCCTTTTTCCTTTCCATTTTTTATTCCATTCAGGCTACAAGCCTACTGGCTTGTGCTATGATATCCTTTTCGCCACACCCAAAGCTACATTAATTCAGTCAGTGAACTGACCCATTTATCACACAACCATAATGCAATGTCACACACCAATGATCCAACCACCTACCAAAAGCCCCAGCTATAAGCACATAAGTTGTGAGGACATCTAGATAGAAGCCATAACATCCTCTTATTTGATGTGTAACTCCTGTTCTGAATCTTCAAGACATAAATTATATTATTTCCATTTCCATTTCCATTTAATATAGGTTAAGTATACGTCTAGAGAGGTAAAGTAATTTCCTCAAGCTTGCAGAGGTACTAAGTGGTACCAAGATCCCAACTCAGGTTGTCTGGCATTAAAGAACAAGTTTCTAAGCACCACTTTTAACCCTGTATCACTTTGCAAAACTATTCTTGACATTGGAGATTTTGTTTTATCTGTACATTTTGTCCTGGAATTTGATCAGTGTCCATCCCATAATAGGTACTTCATAGAGTTGTGTTGATTGAGTTAATGAATATACAAATAAAGAAATAGAAATTTTCTGATTACTGCTCATTTAATTGAAGATGGTCTCATCTTAGAGCCCATAAGAATCTTTAAAATTTGAATAGTTTTAACAAGATATTGTTCCATTGTCAAGAACTCTTGTCATTTTTCTCATCATGTCTATTACCTGAAATTGATGGCAGAGAAAATTGATTTAAACTTTCTCTACCATAACCCTATTCATGTTTGTATCAGACATTTCTTTGTTGTGGGCTTTTCCCTGTGCTTTAGAGAATTTTGATAATATCTGTCTTCTCTACCTACCATTTGCCACTAGCACCCTTCCCCTGGCATGACATTAAAAACAAAATCTCCAGAAACCATTAAATGTTGCTTAGGACCAAAAGCCTTCTGGTTGAAAACCATCAGTATAAAGAATCACAAATATTGCTGTAATCCATCTAAAGATTAAGGGAAAACACATTCAAAATGCATTTTCTGATAGCAGCTGTAAATGCCCCATAGACAAAGAGCAGGATGTTGTAATGGGAAAAGTGTCCCATTTCTTTTTACATCACTTGGCTTGTTTTAAGCCATTATCATTTATCACAGGGATTGGCACATCCAAGGCAGCTATGCAGCAAAAGTTACTTGGCTGTGCAGTTTGAATAGACCCTCTACCCTTTATCTTGCCCCATTTCCTCCTCTGTGGCCAAGAATATTTTGGAAGTGAGATTCAGATCACATTCCCTTTCCCCTTGATGACCTTCCATTGAGAGTCTCCTTTGCACTAACATTAAATTCTACCTCCTCTATGAAATAGGCAAGCATTTCCCTTGTCTGCCCTCTTTGACTTTTCCAGCTTATTTCCTAGCATGACCCATAATAAAACCTCTTCTTCGACAAACATATCAGATCATTTCATGCATCTTAAAACTCACTTGTCTCAGAGAGCCGCCTTTGTTTCTCTATTAGTGGTGGCTTTCCTAAAGCTTTCAGGGAAACTCTTAATAATTCTCACAGAGATATGTCCCCTACATAACATGGTGAGCAACATCAGAGACTGTGGAACCAGACCAGCTAAGTTTGCGATTCAGCTATATTACACACTCGCTGGGTGGGACCTCAGTCAAGTAACAACTTTTCTAGTCCTTAATTTACTGATCTCTGAAATGAGGTAAGAATAGTACCTACCTCGTAGGGTATTCTGTGGATACTGTCAGTCTGCCTATAGAAAGCACTAAGAAATAAAGCTACCTGGCACAGAATAAGCTCCATGAAAGCGTTTGTGTATCTGTATTATTCTTGTCTTTCTCCCGGAGTATACTGTAATTGTGTAGCTACATGATTTTGTCTTTATCACAATGTCTTTGCTATTGATTCAAGGATCAAGCACACAGTAGAACTTGAAGAAACTTCTGCAGCATTAAGACTCACCATACTTGGGTTTGAGAGATGTGCTCTGTGTATCGTTATTTTCACTAGATTGTTTCAAACCTGAGATAACTGCTCCTCATCACTCACCATGCTACTTTCATTTCTTCCAAAAGTGTTTAGGAAAAAAGGAAAATATGCCATTTTCTATCTTCTCTCTTCAACATAAGTGCCTCTAAATACTGGTTGCGTGGAAGCACCTATGGTGATATTGGCGCTTGCCTGAGGGAGGGCATCTGGCTGAAGGGCATCAGGGTGCTGAATACATCTCACTGCAGACAGAATGGTGAGTTGGAATCTGCTTTCCATAGGGAAACATCACTTCTGAGTAAAGCAGTGGCAACCATGTCATTCTGGACCAATGTCCAATCTAGAGATGACTGTTATTTTGAGAGAAAGGATGGTCCCCACATTTTCAAAATTTGCAGATGCTTTCCCCATACTATTCGTGTGATCAAAATGCCTAGGTGCCCATGTCATGCAAAACAGTCTAGGTTAAATGTATAAATTAGTGAGCTGGTAATACTAAAAAAATTTGCATATCTCCAGTGAATCTTTTTCTGTTTGGAATAGGGATGAGTAAATGATACTAGAGCCAGAATTAGAAGATCTGTATTGGAGAAAGTGCACTGAAGTCAGGTTCAGTCTCAGTTTGGGAATACTGGGATACATTGCTAAATTTTAATTTCTTCAGTTAAAGACAGGACACATACATATATATGTATATACACATATAAGTGTATTTTTAAAAAAACATATATAGAAAAACATTTAAACTGATTTATATATGTTTATCTTAAGTAAATCACGTATGTCATGTAATGCACACATAATGTACATACACAGATATGTCTATACACATATACATACATGCAAATATACATCTATAAACATGTTTGTGGGAACTCACAGCATAATCTCTCATTTATTTATTCACTTATTAAACTCTGTGATTACTTACTATATGGCAGCCACTGCACTAAGCACATATTCTTCAAAGCTGAATAAGACACAACCTTTACCTTGGTAAATTCCTGACTTAAGACAAAGAGTTAAACATGTTTATAAATTCTACTATAGAATCATAAGCACTATAACAAATTTATGAGCAATGTACAGAAAGAATGCTAGAGGGGAGTCCAGGGGAGGAAGAGTCAGCTCAGCTTGGAGGAGACTGGGAAGGTTCAGGGGCAGGCAACCAGAGAGGGCCTTAAAGTGGGATGAGTATGGCAGAGATGAGCCACAGTAGTACTCTTCCTTCCCTCTTCTATCTTCCAAAACTCTGTGAAGATACATTTCCAAGATATCTATGTAGCCTTGTTACTCTTTTTTATACCTCACAGAAGTTCCTTTGAATGTTTCCAACTTCTTAAATAGAATTGGCTTAATTTGTGGAGGCCATTGCAAAATTAAATTCAGTGTGCCCTCTATGCACTATCTATACACAAACCACAGTGGTACAAACAGCAGAAAAATGACTTATTCTCCTGAACTTGCACTCTGTAGGGGGATTGCAAGTTGACACAAGGTGGGTAGGAAGGCTTAGTTGGGTAGGACTTTGAGCACTGACTTAAAAGCAAGAGCAAAGAGGCTGAGTGGATACCTGTGAAGGAAGATCCCAGGCAAGGAAAGTTCGGTGTGACTTCTCCGGACCAGGAGGCAGCAAGGGTGTGTGAGTGAAGGGAAAGTGAGAAGGTCCACACGGGTATGTTATGTGCTGGGGAAAAGGAGAGGAAGACAAAGAGAACTGTGAGCCTTTGCCTTTGTCTTCTATTCCCAGGGAGAGGAGACATGACTGGAGCAATTAAAAAAAATAACATGATTCAAATGCCATTTTGACAAGGTAAGCTTGGGTCCTGTGCTCAGATTACATGTCAAGGATTATGAGTAAGATGCAGAATAGGGAAACTGGTTAGAGGCTATTGGAGTGATTCAGGAAGGAGATAATGGTAGCTTGAACCAATGTGATCACAGGACAGTAGCGAGAAGAGGTAGAATTCTGGACACATTTCACATCAGAGCCAATAGGATTTGCCATCATGGGCTTTAAGAGAAAGAGAGAGCATTTTATACTCTGTCTTGTTAAAGGTATTCTACTGTATACATGTATTGTCTTGTTTAAATATCCCAAGCCCCCTACAATGCAAGTTATTTTTATGATAAAACCAAGATTTAGTGTTAAGAGTTAAGTAACTTGCTCAAGTTCATTTAGTTCATAAGTAGCTGAGTTGCAATTCAATCTAGGTCTCTATAAAAGTTCATTTTTTACTGTTTGGAAGGATGAGTTTTGATCTGCTTTCCAAGGTCAAATCTAGCATGTTCCTCATAGTTCCTGCTCCAAGAACAAGCAAACTGAGTCATATAATATAGCACTATAATAAATTAAGTGCATAGACCTTGAATGGCTGCTACTTTTCTCTGATTGTAGGCAGAAAGCTCAAATACTACAATATATTTTCAAATATTTTAATTTGCAGTTATTATAAATTCATACATACAAAGTTGCAAAAACTGTTCAGAGAGGACCTATGTACTATTCATATAATTTTGCTGCCTGGTAACAATTCATATAATGATAAAATATTATCAAAACCACGAAATTGATAAGGGCATAATACTATAAAGATTCCATCATGTTTTACATGAACTTGTATGTGTGTGTGTGTGTGTGTGTGTGTGTATACTGTGAGCATATGTACTAGATCTAGTTTAAAAATAGAATAAGTGATTGTTAAGAAACAGTTCTGTAATGTGAAGGGATGACTACATTAATTAAGTACATTCTAATTCCTCACAATAACCAAAGTATAAATAGAAGAAGAAGAGAAGCGAGAGGTAGATACATAGGGAAGAAGTATGGAAAGATATATAGGATGTGTATGGTTGAAGAACTTCTGTACCAAGTTGAGTTGTTTGGATTTTACCCAATCAGTCAAGGATATTTTTGAAGAAACTTAAGCAGGGTGGTGTTATATCAGATTTAGATTCAAAGTTACTTTTCCTGTTAGAGTCAGTGGAGGGGTGGAGAGTAACTAATGGGAGCTCAGAAACAAGGGAAACCAACAAAGAGATTAAGGAAGTGTCCCTCAAAATAGAGGAGGGAAGAGGCATACAGCATATCTTCAAGACAGAGTTGACAGATTAGTGACAGATTGGATGTAGTAACAAAGTGGGAGGAATCGAACAAGAGGAAATTGATGTTTTTAATTTGAGACATACGTGAAGAATTCTGTTCATCATCAAGGGCTGGAGGATAGTAGGGCAGAGCAACAAACACAATGGTCTTTTGAGCTGGATGGACCTGAATTCAACTCCTGGAACCATCTTCTCCTACCTGCGTGTACTGGGACATGTTAATTAATCTCTTTGTTCCTCCCTTTTTTCGTGATAAGGTATTAGTAACATATAGAATTACAAGATGAAGATGAAATACAATTCTATTTCATGTGAGTTAAATTTGAAGGACTTATGGGACATAGAAAGATAACCCTTAAGGTTTGGAAATGTGAGAAATGAGTTCAAGAATAAGAAGGGTAAGCTAGGTGTGGTGGCACATGCCTGTAATCCCAGCACTTGGGAGACTGAGGCAGGAGGATTGTTGAGAGTTTGAGACCAGCCTAGGCTACACAGTGAGCTCAAGACCAGCCTGAACGGCATAGCAATATCCTGTCTCAAAAAAAAAAAAAAAAAAAAAAAAGAATAAGTAGGGCTTTAGAGATAAAAATTTGGAAGCAATAGCAACCTTTGGAATAAAGCAGTCTACATATGGAAAACAAGTGAGTGAGCACAACAGAGGGTTAAGGAGCAAATGCAAGAGTTTGAACAGAATCCCTAGAACTAACATCTCTTCATAGAAATGAACACTCCGGACCAGCATGAAACTCACAAATCCACAAATGGTGCAGTATCACTTCTCTGCAAAGCCTATGAAGGACATATTCATTATCCCCATTTTCGGGGGAGACTAGCAAAGGCAGGTCAGACACTGTTTGTGAGGTCATAGATCTAAGAAGTAGCATAGCCAGAGTTCAACACCTAGAATCTGAGCATGTGCCCTTAAGCACTGTACTCTCCTGGGAAATGCTTACAGGCAAAGAGTCATGAGAGCAAGAGTGGTGACCTGCTAGGAGAACCTAAAGAATGGGTGATAGTGAACAGCTCAAGAAATGGTCCATGCAAATATTCTGTAGCCTTGAAAAGGTCTCTGGTAAAAACTAAAAATCACTCAGAAAGCAAGAGAGATTGTTTTACTACCTCTCAGCATCCCTGACAGATTGACACAAATACCTACAGCAATAAGGAGATCTCATTATTTTTTAGTTGAGATATAATTTGTGTCCCATAAAATTTACCATTTTAATGTATACAATTCAGTCTCAAATTAGGTTACACAGACATGAGCATTTCCTAATTCTAGAACATTTTCAATAACCCCCATGAGAAACCCCATACTCATTATCAGGCATTCTTATTCCCCACCAGCTACCAACAACCACTAATTTACTTTTTATGTTTATGGATTTGTCTTTCAGACTCTCCTTAGTTTGAAAACTTTTTAATTAAGATATAAGGCAAAAACTATATATGTTTACTGTGGATAGTGTAATGTTTGAGACATGTAGGCACTGTGGAATGCTTGTATCTAGATAATTAGCATATCTATTACCTCATGTACTCAAAGTTCTTGTTCTGAGAACATTTTTGAGCTACTCTCCCAGCAATTTACAAGTGTATAGTACATGATTGTTAACTGTAGTCACCATGCTATGTGACAACTCTCCAAACCTTATTTATGCTCTCTGATGAAAACTTTTTCTTTTTTGTTTTTTTTTTGTTTGTTTGTTTGTTTTTCTGGTACCAGGAATCGAACTCACAACCTTGCGCTTGCCAGGCAGGCACTTTTGCCGCTGAGCTAAATCCCCAGCCCCGATGAAAACTTTTTCATACCCCTTTGACCACCATTTCTCTGTTCCTACTCCCATCCTCCCATTAGTTTTGAAGGCTGCCTCTTCTTTGCATGCTTGCTTATGCTGATCTATCAAGTCTTTTTCCAAATGTCTGTCCTTCGGTCCAGCCTGGTTTTCTGGAGAATCTGGGACAAACCTTTCCTGCCGGTTTAAAGCAGTATTTCCCAAGGTGGTAGTGAGGGTGGCAGAGGCCTCTAGGATCCAGGAGAAAGAGTCATGGGTGAGAAAGCCACAGTGAGAAAAGCTGTGGCCCTCTTCCAATTCCCTCACAATCATGCTGATCTCTATTTTGTTTTAACAAAGGATAAACTCTAAGCTTTTCCTACACCATTATTTAGCAAAACAAATTATGATTTTATCTAAAATGTTCCTGGGGGCATTGTACTCATTGGTGGGTTAAAACATTCATTTCATAGCTGAATGTGCTGTTAGGAGGTGAAATAGATCACTGGGGCTGTGACCTGGGAGGGTGTATTCCTAAATCTCCTCCTTTGTTTCTCTGCATTCTTGCTTTCATGAAGGAGCTTTCTTCCTCCGAGGCCCTCCTACCATGCCACTTCTGCCTTGGAGCCAGTCAACTGTGAACTGAACCCACTAATACCATGAGCAAAAATAAATCTCTCCTCCTTTAAGTTGGTGGTATTGGCTATTTTGTCCTTGCATTGGGAAAGCTGATTAATACAGAGGTTACATTTTCACTGTAGTAGCTTTTTACATTTACTGTCTTATCAGGACAGTTATGTAATTGATATAAAGATTCCTTTGAAATAAATTGTCTACAATGAGACAGTTTGAAGAAAACATTACGCAATGAAGAGCAAGTGGGTATTAGGATAAGGATAAGGAAAAGATCAGGGGGATGATGCCTGATGTACCCAGAGTTTGAGACTCACTGTTGCAAAGGCAATATTTCATATGCTTGGAAATTATTGTCATTTTCCTGTAGTTGTCGCTTCAAAAGATGTCCAAACATTTTAAAAGTGGTTGGACCACAGCAGCACTGTATGTGCATGAGGTATCTTATTGAAATTCTTATGGTTGCCAAATATCTTCTAAATATAATAAATCAAACCACGCCCTTCCAAAATCTGTAATGAGTCCACCTGTGTGCACACAGGACTTTGAAAACTCCCATCTCTGCTGTCAAGTGTAATCAAGTCTTCCCCAGGGTTCTTGTTCTCCAGATTTACCCAAGGCCCCATGACTTCTATCAGCAATTTATTTTTCTTTGGAAATATAGCCTAGTTAGAAGACTCCAGAAGAATTCAAAATTAAACTGTTTTGCTGTTTTCTCTCTGTGCAGTGGATGCAATCAAAACCACTTCCCCTGATTTATTCCTGCTTCATTTTTCAGGCTAGAGAAGATTTTTTTTTTGGCCTTTTTTGTTTGTCCTCAGCTCACCCCTTCCCCAGCTGTGCTGAGACACCTTTTCTCATTAGTTTCAATTCATTCTTTAGCCATGGCATTTTGTAGCTCCACAGACCTCAATACTGCAATTCGGGATGTGTTCCCAGAGTCTGTGAGTCATCCTGAAAGAATAGAGAATTCACAGAGGGACTACTGAAGGGGAACTTCCAGTGACACTAATTCTGCCAACCCTGGGACAGGCAAGATGGCCCCAGGCAAGTTCCAAGCTTGTAGTCTGAGATTTTTTCTTGAACTAATGCCTCTCCCATAAATGTCTCTGATGGCATCCTCTGACTGTGGCTTTGTGCTTCTCTGTTTAGCAAACAATAATGCCTATTTCACATACAGGGGTAGGGGAGATGTGCTTTGGAGATACGGGATAATCTATTTTTTAACCGAAGTAAGCCACATCCAATTTCAAGAAACAAGAAAAATGATAGGAAATTAGAAACTTCAAATATAAC